TGCACAGACCCCAGGCAGCACCTCTTCTCAAACCGGCCTCTGATAACCAGGGACAGCCAAATTCCTCCGGTTATCTAAGATCTCTCAGCAAACCTGGTTTAAAAGTTCGATGCAAGACCTGCAAACTCTGCACCGCATCAGCCTCTGGCTGCAGCCCCCGTTCCTGCTCCGTCCCACCTCTGCCGCTCCACCGTGCAAGGGGGGACCCTGCACCCCCAGGGCACAGAGCCACCCTGCAAGCCCACACCCCCAGCGCCTGCCTCCATCCAGCTCCAGCATCACCTGGATTAGCCACACGGTCCCCAGGATGCTCCCAGCGTTGTGCCGGGGGATTTGGGGGAGCAGGGACCCCCGGGGCCGCGGCACAGCCTGCAGGGACGAGGAGGGGAAGGGAAAGAGGAAGGGGGAGACGAGGATCCAGAGAATGCGGTGGCCCTGGCAGGACCCGGCCCAGCAGGAAGGGACGCTGCCATCACACCCACCTTTGCCGACGCCGGGAGGCCGAGGAGCGGCGTGCCCAGCGCCCCGCTCCCCAGGCACGGCTGGCTCCGACGCCGGGGCAGCCGGGAGGCTGAGGCTCAGTGCCGCCGGGTTCGCCGAGAGCTGCTCGGGGCCGATGTGCCGCTGAAGCTGCCTGTGTCCATTCACCTTCTAGCACCACAGCCAGGTTTGAGCCCTGCTCGCAGCATCGCCGCCCCCCAGCAGCCCCGGGGACAGAGCCCGCTGCGGCTCAGAGGGTTTCCCAAGCCTGCTGCCGGTCCAACACATCGCCTCCTGGGGCAGCCAGGCACTGGGCACCTCTGCCGGGCACCTACAGCGTCTCCTCCTCCCTATTTCCCTGCATTCCCATGGGGAATGGCGCTCCCAGGAGTTCGTTAGCACCGGCCAGATGTGTTAGTACAAGGTACCGACATCTCGCCCGGCCCCGCGATGAGACGCATCACCTTCCCGATGCTTAATGAACATCTGCATCGTGTCAGGGTCTGACAGCAGGCGGGAGGTTTTGCTGGGGGCTGGGAACGCTTTGATAACAAGCTGGTCCGAACTGGTCTGCCCAGCAATGCAAACTCCTGCATCAACACGGAGCGTGGAGACGCGTTTGCGACCTTGCAGGAACGCGGGAGGAGATAAGGGAGAACAGGGAGGCTCGGGGTGAGCTCGCTGATGCCAAATGTTAGCAAAGGAGGAGATAAAAGGGAAAGCCCGAAGTCTGAGGTGGAGTAAAATCCTTCAAAGACGGCAAACGAGCGGTGCTGTTCGCGAGGACAGGGCAGCCCGTGGCCCATCGGAGCTGGCTGCTTCTCAACGCTGCTCCCACCGGGCAGATAACACACAGCTTTCCAGCTGGTCGGTTAATTATAGTCCCTAATAGCTATAAATCAATTAACTAACTGGGTGGATCAATTAGCTCTTTGGGATTTGGGAAAGGAATACAGCAGCAGGGACAAACGTGGCCGCAGCCTGGACGGCCAGTGTGGCAGTACGTCCCCCTCGAGAGCCGAGTGGCTCCGTAACCCCACGGCCCCTCGGCTGGTGCACGTCTTCTTACCAGAGCCTGGCTTGGTGACCTGGGTGTCCTCAAAGAGGAGGACAACTAGCTCTCAGGGAGCAGGGACATAGGAGTAATAGGAAAGCTATGCTAATTCCTAGAAATTCTGTGTAAGGATAACCTACTCTGATTGCTAAAAGCTTTATACAATAATAAAGCTCTCATTGTAACTACAACCCTGCGGCCAGTTCTCGTTCCACAAAGGATCCTTAAAAGAACCTGCCTGTCCCCGTAGCATGGGGTGACACACAGCGCACCCTAAAAGGTGCAAACCGCGTCGGGTTTGGGGCTCCGCAGTGAACGCCTCTGCTCGGGCCAGGTTACTTTAGCAGGTCTCAGTCCCACAAGCTGCTTTTTCCAGGCACAAGGGCTCGGGCGCAGGAGAACACAAGAGCTGGTGCAGGGTCAAGGCCCCATCTCAGTGCACCCATCTGGTCCCAGCTCGCCCAGCAAACACCCTGTCCTGCCGGTAACCGGGTGGCACGGTGACCCCGGCTGCTCCGTCCTGGATTGTTTGATGTGGAACCACGTGGGCACGGTAATATATATTCTGCCGTCCAAGAGCGTGGAAATCGAGGCAGGGACAACGGCAATTACGGTGAGATTAGCACCAGGGCACCGAGAAAAGGTGATGGATGCTCAGGTAAGCGCCAGCGCAGGGTGCCCCGGCAGCAGGTACGCGTGCAAGGCTTAACGGCACGAACGAAGCGAGTTTTGCTGTCGGGAAGCCCCCTCCTGATGGGAACAGGCACCTCCCGGGGAAGGTGGCGATGCCTGGGGTGGCAGAGAGATTTTTTTTTCCCCCCAAAAGCCACAAAGGCTGAGAGAGGGGTTGCCGGGAACGGGCTAGGGAAAGGCCAGGCCCCGCCGGGGGCTGAGGGCAGCGGGCTCACGGGGGAGGAGAGCGGTTCGAGATCCGCAAACCGGAGCGAAAGAGCAGGAAGGAGTCGAAGGGAAAGGGAGGATTTGGGAACAAGGAACAGAGCGAAGGTTGAGGCACAGGCAGGGAGGGGACAGAGGAAACGGGAGA